CACGGACCTCTAAGACATCAGAGGTGGGGTCAGATGCCATGGAGGAGTGAGCATCCACTGCTGACCGGTCACACCCGCCGTGTGCTCCTTGTCATGATCGGGAAATTTTGGGAAGAACCGTCGACAATTCAGTGTGTAAATAATGGCCTAACAATTAGTATGAAAAAAGTCAGTCAGCATTTGACTTAATGATAGATTGTATTTGCTGACAAGGTCATTGTATCGACCATAAAACTTACGAAATGATGACTTTAAACGAGACTGCTGATATTCTTGTTTCATCAACCTGTTTGTCAATAACTTACCTCGTTTCAGAAATTGTTCATACGTAGAGCATTCTCTGGCGTATCGAATCAGCTGAGAGATATAAACCCCGTATGCAGGTGATAAGGGTTTATGTGTGTGTAGCTAGAAGACTTATGTACTTCTAACGTCATGTGTGTGTAAAACGAAAACTTTTTTTGTACTTCTGACGTTACGTTTGTGTAGTTAGCAGACTTCTATGTAATTATTATGTTTGTTTAACCAGAAGACTTCTATGTAGTTCTGACGTTAAGTTTGTGTAGGTAAGAAGTTTTTCGAGTGTGTTTCAAGACTATAAATGATTCTTCTGTACAGTGGTTTCAATACCGACTTCTTCATAGAATTCTTCCTGTTGGCTACTATCTCAAAAAAATTAACATTAAAACATCTGATTCATGCAACTTTTGTAAGGAGGATACTGAAACTATTCAACATGTATTTGTAACTTGTAATGACATAGTGGACTTATGGAGAAATTTGAGTATGTATATCTATAGAACAACTGCTAAAAGAATTGGTTTTAATATCAAAAATATTATTTTGGGTGAAATACCACTCACTAAAGATAACTTAATTATAAATTTTGTTATTTTATACACAAAGCAGTATATTTTTACTTGCTCATTACAGTGTAAAAAGCCAAACCTTCTTGGTCTAATAAATCATTTGAAAATGAAATATAACATTGAGAGATCTGTATCAATTTATAACTCTAAACTGTCAATTTTTGATAAAAAATGGGACTTATGGAAGAAAATGTTTGAACCCAGTTGACATGTTTTTGTTTTTGTTTAAAGCCTCATCTATTGAATATTATTGAATGTTTTATATCTGTTTTTGATAACTGCATTTTATTATTGGTGAATAATTGATAAATTGAATTCTTTCTAACGCAGCCTTCAATTTCCTTCTGTATAATTCCAGTTCAATCCGATATGTGCGAGTGGATGTGTGAATGTTTGCGTGTGTAAAAAATCCTTTGTATACTGCCTTGTAGATATTTATATGTTACTATATATTGACATGTATACAATGGATAATGTAAATAAAAAAAAAGTTTGTGTAGGTAAAGTACTTCTATGAAGTTCTGACTTTATGTTTCTGTAACCAGAAGACTTTAATGTAGTTCTGACGTTATTTGTGTAACCAGAAGACTTCAATGAAGTTCTGACGTTATGTGTGTAACCAGAAGACTTCAATGTAGTTCTGACGTTATGTGTGTAACCAGAAGACTTCAATGTAGATCTGACGTTAAACATAGCTCTGGCGTTATGTTTGGATAGCTAGAAAAGTTATATTTGTGTAGCCAGATAAATTATATGTAGTTCTGACGTTTTGTTTGTTAAGCTTGAGGACTTTTATGCACTTCTGACGTTATATTTATGGAAACAGAAGACTTCTATGTACTTCTGACGTTATGTGTGTGAACCTTCAAGACTTCTATGTACTTCTGACGTTATGTGTGTGAACCTTAAAGACTTCTATGTACTTCTAACGTTATGTGTGTGAACCTAGAAGACTTCTATGTACTTCTGACGTTTTGTTTATGTAGCTAGAAAACTTTTATGTAGTTCTGACATTATGTGTGTGCGTAACTAGAAGAGTGATACGTATTTCTGACGTTTGTTTTAAAGCTATTAGAGTTCTATTTATTTTGGACGTTACGTATGTGTATCTAGAAGACTTTTATGTACTACTGACCTTTTGTTTGTGTAGCTGAAGACTTCTATGTATTTCTGACATTGTGTTTATATGTGGTATGAAGACTTCTATGTTCTTCTTACATTATATTTGTATAGCCAGTAGACTTCTATGTACTTCTGACGTTGTTTTGTAGCTAATTAGATGTTCGTCTTTCATTGAAAGAGTTGGAAATGTTCAACCTATCAGTCCTTCAAATCAATGTAGATTTTAAAGTCTTTCAATATGTTGTCAATAGAGAGGGCTCGCTGCGGCTGTGACCAGTCGACAGGGGATACTACTCATCTAGGGCAGTTGATAAAGAATCTTGGGTTTCCGGAGAATTTTTTTTTAGCTCTCTTTATATTTCGTTTTGTTAAAAGGGTTTGTGAGAATGATTTCATCTCGCTATCTTCATCATTTTCAATAGAGCTTTCTCGTACGTAGAATGCAAAAAGTAGAATCCTTCGTGAGACAACTTGATAACTACATGTTATCACCCGTGAGACTGTACACTAGGACGAGACTTTTCCTTTGAGAGACTATACACTGGGACGTGATTGTTCCTTTGTGTGACTATACACTAGGATGTGACTGTTCCTTTGTGTGTCTATACACTAGGACGTGACTGTTCCTTTGTGTGACTATACACTAAAACGTGACTGTTCCTTTGTGTGACTATACACTAGGACGTGACTGTTCCTTTGTATGACTATACACTAGGACGTGACTGTTCCTTTGTGTGACTATACACTAGGACGTGATTGTTCTTTTGTGTGACTATACACTAGGAGTGACTGTTCCTTTGTGTGACTATACACTAGGACGTGATTGTTTCTTTGTGTGACTATACACTAGGACATGACTGTTCTTTTGTGAGACTATACACTAGGACATGATTGTTCCTTTGTGTGACTATATACTAGGACGTGACTGTTCCTTTGTGTGACTATACACTAGGACGTGATTGTTCCTTTGTGTGACTAAACACTAGGAGTGACTGTTCCTTTGTGAGACTATACACTAGGACATGATTGTTCCTTTGTGTGACTATACACTAGGATGTGACTGCTCCTTTGTGTGTCTATACACTAGGACGTGACTGTTCCTTTGTGTGACTATACACTAGGACGTGACTGTTCCTTTGTGTGACTAAACACTAGGATGTGATTGTTTCTTTGTGTGACTATACACTAGGACGTGACTGTTCCTTTGTGAGACTATACACTAGGACATGATTGTTCCTTTGTGTGACTATACACTAGGATGTGACTGTTCCTTTGTGTGACTATACACTAGGACGTGATTGTTTCTTTGTGTGACTATACACTAAAACGTGACTGTTCCTTTGTGTGACTATACACTAGGACGTGATTGTTTCTTTGTGTGACTATACACTAGGACGTGACTGTTCTTTTGTGAGACTATACACTAGGACATGATTGTTCCTTTGTGTGACTATATACTAGGACGTGACTGTTCCTTTGTGTGACTATACACTAGGACGTGACTGTTTCTTTGTGTGACTATACACTAGGACGTGACTGTTCCTTTGTGTGACTCTACACTAGGACGTGACTGTTTCTTTGTGTGACTATACACTAGGATCTGATTGTTCCTTTGTGAGACTATACACTAGGATGTGACTGTTTCTTTGTGTGACTATACACTAGGACGTGATTGTTCCTTTGTGTGACTATACACTAGGACGTGACGGCTCCTTTGTTTGACTATACACTAGGATCTAATTGTTCCTTTGTGTGACTATACACTAGGATGTGACTGTTCCTTTGTGAGACTATACATGAGGACGTGACTGTTCCTTTGTGTGACTATACACTAGGATGTGACTGTTCCTTTGTGTGACTATATACTAGGACGTGACTGTTCCTTTGTGTGACTATTCACTAGGACGTGACTGTTTCTTTGTGTGACTATACACCAGGACGTGACTGTTCCTTTGTGAGACTATACACTAGGAAGTGACTTCCCCTTTGTGTGACTATACACTAGGAGTGAATATTTCTTTGTGAGACTATACACTAGGAAGTGACTGTTCCTTTGTGTGTCTATACACTAGGATGTGACTGTTCCTTTGTGTGACTATACACTAGGACGTGATTGTTCCTTTTTCACCTCCCATAATCAGTTAACAGTTCTGCCATCGATCTGATATTTTCTGAAAATTATCTTACGTCTCACCTTTGTAATATTTCTATATACATGACATAAAAATGGACAGAGTTGATGGAATCTTATTGATTACTGAAATAATATTAATGCTCGGCCATCTTAGAGATGTCATTCATTACCACATGTATTTCTTTTATAGATACAATTACAGATAATTTAATTGTTTCAAATAATGAAGAGAATAAGCCAATTTCTTTAATTTTTCCAGAAATATGACAAATCATTGAAAATAAGATAAATATACAAATTAAGAACATTGTCATGTTTAGTACTTTATTTGAAGCCTGTAAATACAGAACTAATAAATTATCAATTGAAGCGACTCACGATCGTTCCAATTCATGAGAAAGAACAAGCTCGTGCTTAGAGAAAATACTTCGACATTTTGGAATCTATCCATCCGATTCACACAGAAAACTGACGATGGAACTGGCAAACAGAATATTTTTAAATAAAATGTCTTGATAGTGTCCCTCAGGACGATCAGAGGTCTAAGGAAATGTCCAAAATTTACACTTGTTAGTTTATACTTAAAGTCCGTCATTCTAATTTTAGCGTCTGCTTACGTTAAGCTCCTTCTAATAAACATGTCCTTAACAACTTAATTCTAAATGAGCATTATGTAGAACTAGCTTTCTTTAAAGTGCAGTGTATAGAGCCAGCGTAGGAATGGAAAACAATGATTTAATAAAATGGATATTAGCAATGCACAGTCTATAACGACTTCATGTTCCGTGCACAATTATAGAATTCTCAGTTTAAAGTATATGTACAGTATTAACTCTTTATTTTTACCCATACAGAATGTGCTAGCCGTCTAGCACTCATATGGATTTCGTTGAGGTTCTTTTGATTGTAGTTGTTCGTTTGATGATATGACTGTGGTCAAATCCACTCGATTTAGAAGTTTTAGAAGACATGGCTGCATTGTCAAAAGAAGCTTCTGCTAGACGTATTGGTACAGGTTCAACAAAGTTTGATGTTGCTTCAAAATCAGACATTTTATTACCGAAGGTAAGACTGTTATCAATACCTTTCCCATCAAAAGATTGTCCAAATGCATTCTTGGAGTTGAACTGGGACGACACATCAGAGTGACCAACAACTGGATCAATAGGGGGACCGAAATCGAGACCGAGACTGGGGTCGATATTTATGTTGATACTATCTACATGATCAAAGCTATTGTCCGCTCCAATAAACTGACCATGGCCAGAGATAGCAGAGGCAGCCATTGTTAGATCATTCGAAAATACGCCATTGTCTGCTGCTATCATACGGGTATTGTCGACAAAGTCAGAACCAACACTAGCGTCGATCAGCTGAGCAGGGCCAGGGCCAACATTTATCGCAGGGCTTGGGTCACTGATTATTTTTGCCCCGTTAGCTTGATTGATGTCTATTTTTGTGGCTCTAACGCCACCAGCGTCGGAGAATTCGTTGCTTATGACGTCAACGTTGCTTTTCCCAGTATTTGCCTCTTTAAAATCCATTATGACATTACCCTGATCCCCGGGCACTGGAGAAACTAGGCCTATATTAGGAACATCCCCTCGGGTCGGTCCTGCATCAAAATAAAAAAGCTTCAGTTGGGCACTTAAAAATTTTATTTTAAAAGGTTTCTATTTTCACTAAGTTGAGTGTTGTTTACCATTATTTACTTTTCACATCTAGTTATACGAGTTGTTTTTAAAATTACTGCATCGCTGCTTTACATGTATTTTGGGATTCACGTTTTGGCGCAATCCTTTAAGTGCTATTTTATGAATACTATAAGAAATTATTTTTATTTCAATACAATACGTCTAATATTAATTCATAATTGGGCCAATATTAATCCCCGCCATATTTTGCGTTTAATTTTGAACACGTTTTTGTACAGATAAATTCACGGACTTTAAAAGCATAAAAGTTTAATTATTAAATCAAGACTAACCTAGCTGAAGCTGTAGCGTTATTGTTTTATATTTTAGTCTCTGACCATAACGCTACAGATTCCGTAATGCAAATTTAGTGCAAAGATTTTTTTTTTTTGCGCACGGTTGAGGAGAATTTCACCACTTTCTAGCTTTGATCAATCAACTACTCTTCACTCCCTTATTTTATACATATACTTTGACCAACCCGTACGTAACTCTTTATAGTCGTCTTTACAGACCAATAAACTCGCTTTTTTGAAATGTTTGCCATTGGACAAAAATTCAAAACAAGCGAGTTGACGACTATAAAGAGTTAGGAGGTAGATAAAATATACAGGTTGGTTAAAGAAGATGCCTAGATTTAGGGAGTGAAAAGTAGTTGAGTATACCCAAAGCTGGAAGTGGAGAAATTCTCCCCAACCGTGCGCAGAAAATCTTGCGCCGTAAATTGCACTATATTTGCATTATGGGATCTGTAGCGTTATGGTTAAAGACTAAAATATAAAACCACAACGCTACATTTCTGCAGCTAAGACTAACCCTGTTGATCTACAGGTCCCTGTTTAATTTCTGCTATTGGAACTAGAGGGAGGTCCGGCTGGGGAGCGGGAGGAAGAACTGGTTCCGGCGGAAGTAATGGTGGGTCAACAGGATGAGAAGTCTGGATCGGTATCACCGGAAGTGGTTGAATTTTCTCAACTATAAAATAAAATGTAATAGACAAATGCATTTTAATGGGAAAAAAATATATTATTTTTAGTTGGCAAAGTTTAAGGCAAATCACATTATAACTTGGTTCCAGTTCGATTTTACGAAGCGAATTAATATCATTTATTTTTAACCTATTGGTTTATCATTTTTTTAACCTATGCATGTATCGGATGCTTTCAGTAAAAATAAACTAGGGATTACTCTTTTTTCTTACCAGGAGCTGGCGGGACAACATTCTCCACCGTTATCCTTGGCGGATCTAAACGTGGTGGTCGCGGCAAGTTCTCTAAAACATGGGCAAAAAACTTTAAAAAACTTTTCAAGAGTGGGAGAAAGAAAAAGTTAAAGGACATATTTTTAATGTTTTACACAAAGCTTTTTTAAGGTAGTATATAACAAGAATGGTTTTAAGGTGGTGCTCAACACCTTTGATTTTATGGTAGTGCACAGCAGCTATGATTTTAATGCCCTGTTCACACGGAGAGTTTAATTCGCAGTAAATTAATTCGAAGTAAACTAATGCGAATTAAACTAATGCGAATTAGATTGAGTTCACACGAGAACTAATGCGAAGTAAACTAATGCGAATTAAAATTATATTTTTACAGTAAGGGTATTATGTAAGCCTATTATGACGTCATTTTCAAATCACGTCACATTGTGCAGAGCAGGTACAATTTACATAATGTCATAGTGTCTGTACACATTTTATTGATTGACATAATTTTCTTTGGTTTTCCACTCAAAAATAGTACACAACACCTAAGATTTTAAGGTAGCACACAACACCTGGTTTTAAGGTAGTGCACACCACCTATGATATCAGTTTTATCGTCATTATTTTAAAAAAATACCACGTACATTTGAACTAAATGTTTATCTTAAATCAAAAGGTATTCAATGAATGTTTGATTTCACATTCATTCTATAAAGACTGACACGCCAATTCTGAAACTATGTGGGCATTTAAAATATGGATGTAGATTTCTTTAATATCATGCATACATCTTATATCGTGATTTTGTTTCTTTTATATATATATATATATATATATATAGAGAGAGAGAGAGAGAGAGAGAGAGAGAGAGAGAGAGAGAGAGAGAGAGAATCAAAAGAATTGATCCTGAAGAATAATTTGGAACTATAGTATCTGTTGTAAGCTACCTATGGCTTGATTTACCTGTGTATTGCTGGATCATAATCATCATAATTTCAAAAAAGTCTTATTAACACTTGTGCAAGAACAACAACCATGTATTTTATTTTGAATATTTTAAGAGTAGATGGTTGTTTTAGCATACTAATTTGAGGCAGCTGTCGTTCAATAGCAGTAAACATGTGGCCCAGTGGATACAATAAACGTATTTGTACATAATATGACCACTTTGCTAATTTATTTTCCATCAAATCATAAAATATTATCAGTCTGCTAATTTATTTCCCATTAAATCGTTCCTACAAGATAGCGTTTTCATTATTATATCCAACTTTAATACTTTGTTTACAATGAAAATACACTTGCTATTTACAATCTTTCATCAACATGCAATGTGGTGGATTTGTCTGCTTACGCTTCACCGTTTGTGAAAAATAAGGGGAAAAAAGAGAATTTTAAATTATCGATATTCTTTAAATTACAATTAAAAAAGTAAAGTTAAAATTTAAATAACTGTATTTCCGACATATTCATTTTGATGTTTTTGATTTTTTTTTTTCTAATCAAACTTTGTAATGGAAAGCTGGAGGCTTATATTATACATGCATTTGACAAATTTATATTGAAGTTTTTAAGCTATTGTAAAATGATTGGTTTTCCATATCTGGTATGGTATTCCTAAATCTAGTACCCGTGTTTAAAATTATGCCCTTAAAGACAAGACCACTGAACAAAAGTGAAATATAGGACTTGTGATCTTGACCCAGCATTCTTAAGAAAATTGTGTATATTTATCACCAAAATTTTTGACACTGTCTGTCAATGCTACGTGTCTACATCTAGAACGACATACATATACCCTTTAAAATTATAAGTTCAAAAAACAAAATTAAATAAATATCTCTGATAAAAGAAAAATGGTTAAATACGAAAGTTGTACCTTGTATAGGAGGAGAGACTGGTTGTACCGGTCGGAATTCCCGTACAGGCTGTTGGACGTCTATGTTTATTCTTGGTACTGTAAATTAAAAAAAATCACATTAAAATATAAAAACCAAGGTATCGAAAAGAGTACTCGTAATTTTTCATGTATTTTTAAATTCTCTACCTAAATTAAATCTTCTTTCGATATTATTGAAGTTCTGTCTGAAAAAATTCCTAGGTCGGTGGTCTACAGAGTTTCCTATGCGCCAAACTTGCTGAGGGGGCGGGAGTTCTGGGGGTGGTGGGCTTCGAATTGCGGGTAGAGGACCAGGATTCACGGGAACTTCAAAACTTTCAAAATGCACACTTCGTATTGGAGGGGGACGGAAATCTTTGGTTCTATCAATGTTTACAACAAACGTCCCACCAAATACTATAACAAAATTACACAATTTTGTAAATTATATGTTGATACAAGTGAAGGAGTTAGAGGAATAAATGGATGATGGTGCTGATGATGACGATGATGATGACTTATTATGATGGTATGATGCCTATCATGGCGAAGTGAAGAATAATAATGAATATTCATCAACCTAGACTATCAGAATATTGTATATACTTGCCATACCTGGTTTTCCGACTTCTTCAATTGGTTTGGCCGTTTCCGTTTTTCCAATGATTGGTTTTACAGGTGCGGGTTTGGGGTTGCTGTGTTTAATGACTTTTTGTACAGGAAAACCTGTATTGACCATGTTGGGACGCACCACGCTCGTGGCTATTGGAAACACCGGAATAGGTTCAGGTAGAGGTGCCCCACCGTAAGGTATGAAGTTCCCTCCTCTATTCGGAAAAATCACCCTCGTGAAGCCGTTGGGGAAGGTGACTGTTGTTTTGACGTGAATGGGCTTCAGTTTGGTAATAAATGGTCCAGGAAAAGGGACAAACGGGGGCTTCATAAATCCAACGGGGGAGTAGGCCGCTGTAGAAAATAAATATACAAAAATAGTATAAATATAAGTACATAGACTTTGAAATTCATTTATTTTGTGTGACTTAATACCTGTATTCGATTACTGAAGCTCATTTTAAAAAAGAAATAGAATCGAAATGAGGCAAAATTGTTTAGTATATAAATATAAAGGTATCTATCACAATTCCCATGTTGATCCCATTTAAAGTAAAATACCTACGAGGGAGAAAACTCCCCTTTCTTGGTCCTTTGCCATAACCCAAAACTGGAAAACAAAATAATAATTAATTAATTAATATAATAATTAAGTACATATCATTTTTAAAATATCGTAGAATTAAAGGTACTGACTCTAATTAAAAAAAAAATAGAAAATAAAAAGTGAGATAACTTTAAAAAAAGACACGAATTACTTTTATTATCACGATAGCACATTTCTTTCGAAAAAATCAGAATTTCTTTTTGTCATTTAAGTTTATCACTCATTTATACACACACATACACACACACACAAACAGTTTAAAGGAAGGAAAAGTGAATCGGGTCACCTGCCAATGGAAATTATACAAGAGTTTGGGGAATCGTTTTACCTTCAGGCCCGTAGCAACGGTTTCAAAAGTGGGAAGGGGGGGGGGGGGCAACTTCCCTAAAAAATCTGACAAGCAAAAAAAAAAAAAACAACAAAAAAAAAAAAAAAAAAACAAAACAAAACAAAACAAAAAACCAAAAACGTTGGGGTGGGGGTGGGGAAGGGGGGGTGGGGTGGGGGCTGGAACATCTAAAGGGAAATTTACTATAGCAAAATAATATACTCAGAAAAAGCCCCCCCCCCCCCAACCAGCGTTCTACAGGCGTGACCTTTATAGCTAGATCGTAGGATTCTGCTTAAAGGCTTTTATGCCCAAATGAAATAATCAACTCGTATAAAAGGTACATGATGGTCATTTAATTTTATAGACTTAGAGACTCTTGTACAAATGCAACAGATAAATACATGTAATTGTAAATTATTTTTTGATAAATTATCATATTTTATGATACATAGGAGGAACTTGGGGAAAATCAGCAAAATTGTATGTTGGCTATAAAAATTCTATTGTCAGTCTTCAAATATCAAACACTTTTGATATCGTCATGAATAATAATGAACAAAATTAATTACTTTATTCTTGTAAAAGAAAAAAGTCTACGAACAAACAGTCTCTTCTCTCTCTCTCTCTCTCTCTCGATGTCAAAACTATTAGGGTTTGGAAGAAAACCATTAATTCCAATGGATGTTCCGCTTCTGTGTAATCATTTTTGTCCATTTCAAGAATACAAAATATCTAATGAAAGCAAATTTTCATAAAATTTACTAATTTTCAAACATTTACCATAAAAAATAGACCTTTAAACCTTATTCATACAGTCATAGTACGCTTATCATGAATGGTATTGACTTAAAAAAAATATTGCACGGGTTGTCAATAAAATGTCCGATCGGTCGTCAAATGTTTCACGCCTCAGTGAGCACGAGTTACAGATTTATGTCTAGAATTGTACGAAAATAATCACCGTCATATTGCTTATTCCAGATAAAAATTGCCAAATCAAATCATACACACCAACGATGATTTATATATGAGGATATATTGCACTATTTCTCGGTTACTGGTGTTTAGTGGTATGAGCGTTGAATTTCGAAAAATAAGAAAAATAGAAAAATCTTGACAATAGGCTACGAAATACTGATATGTTTTTAAATGTTTAATTAATGGCCAGCGGTATGAAAATAAAAATGAGGAAAACACACATATTTAATAAGTATGAAATAAAATTTGTGTATTAAGCACAAAAATTGCCCCCCCCCCCCAAAAAAAACATGAAAATTCTACTCTTTTTTTTTTCTTCATAAAATGATCTCAATATTCGGCAGGTATCGAACCACTGCAAATTTCAACAATGCATTCTATGCATGTTATATAATGAAAAAAAGTCATTTATCTATTATTTCATTAAAGTAAAATGTTTACTTTTTATTTCAAACAAACATTTCTACTCTGAATGTAGCAAAGTATAGTGTTAAAAAAAGAGACCATACCTGATGCGAATCCCAGCAGTAAAAGTACCACCGGCACCACGAGCCTCATCCTGAGAAACCAACTCTCTCCTTCCTAGTTGTGTTGCACGTTTACAATGTCACCACCAACGGACATCGATAATATTCTGGGACAGAGCGTGAATGCCATCTAAAGCGGTGTCAGATTTATAGGACCGCGATCAGTTAATCATCCATTTACTTATTCATACTTCATAACTCACAAACGAGGTCACTATTCAGCAATCGATTTCTCATAAGAAGTTTGTAGAACGTAAAATCAATTTAAATCAAATATTAATGTTTGTGTGTGTGATAATTCAATAATTGATTTTTTTAAAAAATCATCTAAATAGCCTATAAAGTACACTGTATTTATGCTTTTAAACGCAAAACGGCATACAACAGGGTGGAACTATTTCTACCTTCTTATTAATGTTGATCACGTATCATCTAATTTTGTATGTTTGAAACCTTAGAGACATGCATATAGTTTTCAGATCGTGGGAGAAATCCATTTCTCTTTTTTTTTCTAACTTGTATAGGGGATGTATTTAGACTGACTTGTCTTGGTACAAATTGCCACAAAAGCAATCGTTTGTTTGATTGCGGTTTTCTCAGAAGTTAGTCTAATCATATAGCAAGACATGAAACACTAATAGGGAAAAAATTGAAGAAAGGTATGTTTACATTAATAATGCTATAAGAATTCTTAAAATCCGCAAGTTTGGCCCGTAAGAATCAATTTGAAGAGGGGGGGGGGGCTCAATCTTACATATAGAAATTCCTTGACAGCAAAAATAATAAATAAATGAATATATAAATAGTTTTTTAAAAAAAGACGTTATTGAAAGGGCATATTCCAATGTAAATCTTTGATCCCCTATTACGGTCCACCCTACCGGGGGGGGGGGGGGGGGGGGGTTGTTGCATGATTTGAACAAAATTGAATATACACTATTTCAGGAAGCTTTTACATAAATTTCATCTTTTCAGCCTCAGTGATTCATAAAGATAAATTTTTCATACAATCCCAATTTAAATATCCCGTTTCTTATCTCCCTTTTGGAAACGGAATGACCCTTTATATGAACAAATTTGAATCCCCTTTACCCAAAGATACTTTGTTCCAATTTATTTGAAATTGGCACAATGATTCTGGAGAAAAAGACAAGTATTTGAAAAATTGTCGACGACAACGCCAACGACACCCGCAGACAACGGACATATTTTGATTTGTGTTTGGATGCAGCATATGCGGGATTAGACCGAGTAATCCGCGAGAAGGAAATTAAGGATACGACAGGCAAATCTAAGCTTGATAAAAGCTTTGGGGGATTAGATTTTGAATGGGATTTTTAAAACAATTTTAACTCAAGTCCATTATTCAATAACATTTTTGAAAGTGGATGCTATCCTGAATATTGGACAAAGGGGTTTAAATTATTGCCCCCGTGTATAAGATAGGTGACGTATATGATGTGAATATTTATAGAAAAATAACTATTGTTAGATGTTTTGAAGAAATTATTTACTACGATTTTAAATAATAGAATCTTAAGTTGGGAAAATAATTACTAACTACTAAGGTATTTTTTCTGATGCACAGTTGGTTTTAAAAACGATTATAATGTAAAACAGTTGATGCAATATTCGTATTACAGGTATCTACATACGAAAAAGCGTTTATACTGCTGTTTTATCGATTATCAAAAAGCTTTTGGTTCTATGGATAGAATCAAACTGTGGAGGAAAATATTTAATATTGATATACAAGGGAAATTGTTTAAAAAATTATTAACTCATTGTATGATAGTATAAAAGCCGTGTAATATATGATGGCTTGTTTGGTGAATATTTTACTAATACATGTAATATGGGGTTGATGCAAGGTGAAACACTCTCCCCTTTGCTGTTTTCATTATACAAGATTGTATTAGTCCAATTTGGGCCCCCGGAGGAGCAAAAAGGATTTACAAACATGAAACAAAAGAAGGAAGATCCAAATGAGAGAATAAGAGAATTTTAGAAAAAAAATGTGTATATGTGGATGATTTTGGAATGAATTTTATCAAAGAAAATTGTCCATGTATAGATGTAAAATTAGTTTGTTCCTTCTTATGCATGTAGATGATATGATTTTTATGTCTGAAAGCTCAGAGATCGAGGGTTTACAACAAATGTTAAACTCTCTAAGTAAGTATGACTACTATGTGGAATGGTGGGAGATTCGATACCATGAAAATGGTCTTACAATAATGAAATAGTTGAAATTGTCGATGAATTTAATTTTCCTGGAATGTTATTCAATTTTCGAAAACTCAAAAACACGCAACAGCTTAAAAGTGCATGCCTTCATTGATTGTCGAAACAGTTATCTGTCTTTGATACTTATGTATGTAGACTTGTGTACTTTTATAAGCCTAAGAGGTATGGGAATGGCATAAAGCTAACGTTGTTTAAATAATGTAAAAACTATGGAATTCAAATAGGGCCACGTAGCTCACTATCGCACCATCGAACATCGACTAAAGAGTTGATGGTGTGATGACGATGACGCAACGGTGTATTCACTGTATTGAATCCGGATAGGGCTTCCCAGCTCACTATCGCACCATCGAACATCAACTACAGAGTCGATGGTGTGATGACGATGACGCAACGGTGTATTCACTGTATTGAATCCGGATAGGGCTTCCCAGCTCACTATCGCACCATCGAACATCGACTAAAGAGTCGATGGTGTGATGACGATGAAGCGATGACAATGACTTTACCCCTACAGTTATGACTTCATTTAATCTTTTTCAAACCAATGACCCTTTGCGACTCAAATTCTGTTTATTTCATGCATCAGCCATGAAGGGGTCTTATATTAGTAATCCCTCTCATCTGTAACATAAAGACTTGACCATTGCTGACCATGATCTTCTTGCTAAATAAAAATTCAGGAAGCATTTGAGTTATCGTTTTCTTTATTCTTGAAAGAAACATATTTGCCCACTGAAGCACGTGGAATCTTGAGCACACATTTTCAGAAGTGCAGTATAGTACTTACACCCGAGTTTAAGTAAAACTAGTACATGCTATAAACCATCGAATTCCTCATCTGCTATTCAAACAATGGAAATATAATTATTTAAAGATATACATGCTATAACTTGCGTTTATATAGCGTGTATGTCTTTAAAGTGCATTATATCTAGTCTACAAATTTTCAATGCATGATTCCTTGACATGTAATTAAATAGTCAAAACAAAATATATATGAAACTGACACAATAATAAATGATTTTGTCAAATAATCAGGAGAGCTACAGTTGAACTTCAGCTACTCATTTACCGATAGGTTGAATAACAGGGACAAGATTCTACATTAGGAGCTTTATAATAATAAGTTCAGTCTTAATCACTGTAGTATCTTGTCAGTCACACTGAGAAAAACCTCACATTACAAAAAATACAAAATATAGGCATAACTATAGTGAAAAAGTAATATTGTAGTCAAGTAAAAATTAGCTTGGCACATGATCCTAATACTAAATAAAGAGGTAAATTTTAAACTGACAACAAACTTTGTTTGCAAAGGGGTGGGGGAAAAGGGTTATATATCAAAATCAGAAATGATATGTCAATGATATAACTACTGATAATCTTAACTGCTGATGATATCATCAATGACATCGATAATACCAGGGTTTTATCAGTATAGATAATTTAACAGGTACTTTCAGTACAGGTTCATTGATGTCATGATCACAGAGGTAAATCATGATATCAGGACTATTCCAGGGCTCATTGTCATTCAGATGGACTGATACATTGATAGATTGTTGTACGAAAGTGACATCATAGACTGGAGTCCCAGACTGGAATGATATATTGTAATTTTAGATGATATAAGGTCTGATACACTGATATATCAGGACTGATATATTGACAGATCATTGTATGACAATGACATAGGAGACTAGAACCCTCACCTGGAATGACAAAATGTTAGATTACATAAGGTCTGATACACTGATTTTCATGACTGATACATTGACAGATCGCTGTATGTATCGGAGACCAGAGTCCCAGCCTAGAATGACACAATGTTAGATGATATAGGGTCTGATACATTGAAATATCATGACTGATACATTGACAGATCGTTGTAGGACAGTGACATTGGAGACTGGAGTCACAGCCTGGAATGACGCAATGTTAGATGATATAGGGTCTGATACACTGATATATCATGACTGTTACATTGACAGATCACTGTATGTATCAGAGACCGGAGTCCCAGCCTGGAATGATGCAATATTAGATGATATAAGGTATGATACACTGATATGTCATGACTGATACATTGACAGATCGTTGTAGGACAGTGACATTGGAGACTGGAGTCCCAGTTCCTGCTCCAGGGCATCCATGTCAATATTGAGTGACCCTGTGACCTCCATCCAGTCTGTTAGAAGGGAAGAGGACAGGGGAGATTGCTGGGGCGGCAAACTGAAACAAGACCGGTAAATTATAAAATAAATAGGAAAAGATGTAAAACTCATGAATTCATTAGCAAATCTTTCTCAACAGGTAAACAGACACCTTTGATAAAATGTAATTGTTCTTTTACCTGGAACTGTCTTCCATCAATGAATCCAGGTCCATCCCAACACCATACCCAGCTCCTGTTCCCCTGGGAGTCAGAGGCAACAAAGGAGGAAAGTTGTCCCCTACTTGTGTACTGGAAAACTGCTCCGCTAAAACAGATATCAGATCATGTGGTTGTTGGCTTGTGTCAACTGAGACTCGGGGATAAGAATATGGCTGCCGTGGTTGTGTCTGAGTCTGGTACCTTGCATCAAAAAAAGGTTGAATATTCTGAGAATGGCCCGCTGTTTGCTCATCTCTTGCAAAAGGAATTGTTGAGATATTTCCATACTGCTGCTGAGATGAATATTCTTGTTGATTTGGTAGCATCACATTTGAAAAAGTGTTTTCACTCTGAAAAGGTGTAGTAAATGTCTGAGTTTGAGAGCTGATTATGGCGAAAGGATTTGTAGCCGAGACATCAAACTGCTGATTTATCTGAGGAGGAATTCCAACTTGCTGAGAGGAGTGTGGGTGACTAGGTAAAGCACTGGCTTCAGAAAAATTGTTGACTTTATTATTTTGAACATCACAGCTGGAGTTTGAGTCCTGATTGTAGGGGTCAGGTGACCCTTGTGATTGATAGCTCTCAGGTGAACTATGGTTGCTGTAGTCCCTCTGAGGTGAATTTTGATTGGAATACACAGGCTGGTGGTAATCTTGGAAGCTTGAAGATGTCTCTGGTCTGCTTAAACCAATGTCAGAGTTACTGACTGGCTGTGATGGATTTGACGTACCTACATTACAGGACACATCCTGAAATCCAGATGCCAAACCCATCATTTTAACACCCTCCATGCTAATAGTGGACAGACTCGCATTGGTAGTAATGGGGTCATTTGTCACCAGAGCTGGAGACACAGAGGTATTCACATTGTCTTTTGCCACTGAATTCCTAGCCTGTAACTTTTGTTGAAGCATATGCATAGTGTCCACATTTATCAGGGATTTCCCTGTGTTGGACTGTTGGGTGGAGCTCCCGGACATTTCTGAGGAGTTGGCCTGGAAGGATTTGAGTTGGGAGGGATTAGAGATAATCTGAGATTGTGTTGTCTGAGGCATCATTGGTACACTGGACAGACCGCTTCCTGGATTCTGACTTTGTACATTAGACTCTGGTTTTGGAGCTATGGGAGGGTTCACTTGCTGCATCTTAGCCCACCTCTGTAGAAGCTCCCTATCCTCATCCGTCAGCAGCTGATCGGGTTTCTGTTCTGTTGGAGAAAAAAAACACACATTCATTGAAGAAGAACAAAACATTTTAAAATCTGATCTCAAGCAAATGAAGAGAATTTAGAGATAACAAGGCTGAGCAATCTTTATTACATACAACAAACACACACTACCTTTCTTTTCTTTTTTCTTCATTCTTTCCAGTGCCTTCTCTTTCTTTCTCCTCCTTTTTTCCTCCCTTTCTTTCTGTCTTTGAGCTGCAGTGATTGGTTTAGGTTTATCATCCACTTCAGTGCAAGAATCTTAAAAACAGATTAAAATTATGAGTGAATTCATGTGTCACCTAGGAACAAATTCATGTAAAATTGTTTCATTTAAACGTACTATAATCAAACCTCATTAATCAGGACACTGGTGTTCCCGAGCAAATTGTCCAGATTAATGAAGCATTGATTACTGAAATGTACCTTTAATAATTGGTAGATATATAAAAAAAATTCTCTTGTTAATTAGAGTACCTGTGGTTTGAAAAGATGACAGGATCTTTACTTATTAACTTTTCTTCTATAATCATAGACTGTGATTTAAATGGACAAGCTTCGCTAAAAATAAGCAAGTTTCTTTGAGCATTACCCTTACCGTTTTTCTTTTTTTTTGCTCTTTAACAAAAATGACTACACCAGGTACACCCTCATGCAGTCCAGTAATAATACATGGATATTTATATCTTTTATTCAATGTTTATATCTTAAATTTGAATTAGCTCATATTTCTATAGTAATTGAAAAGCACATCTAAAATTAATTTTTGCCAGGATTTTTCGAAAGTATGCTGCTTTTGTCAATGATAACTGCATTAACAGTGTGCAAATTCTCATATCTCCATCACTGAATTGCTGCATATGACGTCAAGTAGTATATGACACTGAAATATGATTGAAATATGCATATTGCTGTATTTGAATTTCAGCTCTAAATTTTGCTTAAAATATACTTACAACAACATTTTTTGTATTCAGCATTTTAATAAACAAGGTTTAAGATAATATTTTTCATAAAATTATGTATATTTGAGTCCTTTAATCAAACTCCTTGATATTGTCTCTGCTGGAGAAGAACGTTAATCTACTTACCACTTCTTTTTCTGAAATTGGAGTTGAGTAGTGCTGCTTTGATGAGTGCCTTGGTGTCAGAGGAGATTGTTTTAGTTTCCTGGTTCTCCTCCTTTGTTCCCCCCTTCTCGGGGATTTTTGTTTCTTGTTCATCACACACCTGTTCTTTTGCCTTTGTTTGAGACTTGGCACTGAACATTTCTACATCGCTTGCAGACACTTCCAGCTGTTCTGTCTTGATAGCCACTCCCACGGGTTTAATGTCTGGCTTCAGGAAATCACCCTTTATTTCCCTTGAAGGAAAAAGCTGAATTCCTTGGAACTCTTTTGTCAGACCTGGAGTGGACACCTCTTGTTTCATCTCTGATTTCTTGTCCACTGTATCCTTGGGTACTGGTTTAAGACAGGCACTGAAACTGAGTGATGGGGTTCTAGGCTTGTGGAAGTCCATTATCTCTTTATATATTCGTTCTCTCAACTCTTCTGATGTTAATTTCTACAAGATGCTAAAGAAATTAAATCTTAATCTACTCCAAACTCTTAAAAGTTATCCTCATGACTTAGTTTTTATTTTCCAGCCCATTTTCTTGACCTTGGGAATATAATAAAAAAAAATATAAAGTACCAATTTTAAATATCTATTTCATTATATAGCAAAATTGAAATTTAAGAAAAATTACATTAATTTTTTTTTATCTTGAATATGAATAGGATTTTTTTTTTTAGGCAAAGTGTCTAAAACATGTAAAAGACATAAAAAAATAACAGCAGTAATTTTGCCCACCTGCTTTTCAAAGTCAAAGTTAAATGTTGGAACACAGATGGGCTCATCATCAGGATCGTGATACTTATTGAGGTAGGGGTGGGTAAGAGCATCAGTGACTGAGACTCTTTTACGTGGGTCTAAGATCAGCATTTTACTCAGTAAACTCAGCGCTTTTTTACTGGCTTTAGGAAACAAAGTAGACCAGGCTATTGGTTCTTTATTTCCCAGTTCTGAAACATTGAATATTTTATTAAAAAAGATATATTGGCAGTGATATTGAAAAAGGTAGGAAATGACTAGAGTAAAAGAAAATTACTTCTGAATAAACAGATTTTACTGTATTCTGTTTGCTTAAATTTGCTGCAGAGAATCCTGAAATCTGTGGAGACTTACGCTTGATGAATTTTTTGATGAGATCTGACTGACAGAGATCTAGAAGGTCCTGCTCGGGGGAGCCCAGTACGCCGATTATCAGCTTCAGCTGGTTGATGTAGTCCTTGCCTGAATGAAGAAGTTCATTTTCAATGTAAAATGCATATCCTTACTAGGTCTCTACCTGAATGTCAATTTTCATCACAAGTATTTCAACCAAAAAAAATTACTAGGACAGGACTAGGATTTAATCTTCATTATTCAGAATTAAGAAAATATAAAAAATCTTTATCTGTATTCTAAATGTTCATATCTTCAGCTAATCTATACTGTATATTATGTATGCCAGCAATTTTTACCTCATGCTCAGAACTAAATTTATTTTACCTGGAAATAAATGTTTCCTTCCCAACATCTCGGCAAAGATACACCCCACTGACCACATGTCCACGGCAGTTCCGTACTCAATCAAAGCGAACATTATCTCGGGGGCTCTGTACCATCTAGTGGCTACATACTGAGTCATGAAGGCATTCTGTTCTTCTGATGACATGTTGACTCCTCTTGCCATCCCTACAAGACACAACTAAATATATGATACCCACTAATATATAAAGGCTGCAATGTATATTTGTGACCACCATATTTGTATTACTTATTGAAATAATAAGATATTCACAATGGAACATTCCCAGAACAATAAAGAATGCTGTGCTGAAATCTAATTTTGAACCATATACTCTAGGGTTTTCTCATTTAAATTTGCTTTAATGTTCAACATGTTGCAAACAATGCAGAAAGATTCCTAAAGGATCAGACACTGCAGATATTACCAAAGTCTCCGATTCTCAGTTGACAGTCCTCGTTGACCAGTAAGTTACTGGGTTTGAGGTCCCGGTGAATCACATTAGCTGAGTGGATGTACTTTAATCCTCTCAGTAACTGGTACAAAAAGTACCGTACATGTTCTTCAGTTAGCTCTTGTTTAGAGTATATAATCTTATGTAGGTCACTTTCCATCAGGTCAAACACAACATACACATCTCGGAATCTATCTACAGTTTCTGTAGGTTTTAAAATATCTCTTATGGAAATTATATTGTCGTGTTTAAAGTGTTTTAATATCTTGATTTCTCGGTAGGTCCTAGTGGCAATCCTCTTGTCTTCAAAGATGTAAGGAATCTTTTTAATGGCCACCCTGTCTTTGGTTTTTCCATGAACAGCGGAGCACACCACTCCATAAGCACCAATTCCTATATTGTCCAGGGGAATGTAGTCTGTTCCACTTAAGTCAAACTTCACCTCATAAGCCTTCATCATTAAACTCTTCCTCATATCTTCCTTTGACATGTTGGATTTGAATCCTAGAATTTTTTCTTTATCCATGATTTTTGCTTACAATCTAAAAGAAAAAAGAGAGTCTTTCATGGCAATTTAAAAGTATAGTTGGATTTTTATTGCTCATTAGAAATTAAGCTAAATAATTGGTTTCATAAAAGTACATGTATATTCTGATATGCATTTCCACCCTTCAATTTCAAGAAACATTCAATTTCCTTGAGTGAGGAGGCAGCATTATAAATACAGTATGCATAAATGTATTCATTTTTCTTTTAATCTATGTCATCGTGTTGTAAAATTAAATTTTATTAGAACAGAATGTGTAATGCATATATAATTAAAACAAAATGTTTCTAATTTCATTATATATCTAATAAAAACATAACACAGACTCAAGTTTTATCTCTATTTTTTTTTCAAGACTGTCTGACTACAGAGTTTTATTTTTATCACAATACCTTTAAGTGTACTGACTTACACAATCAATTGAATTGATTGTCTAATCTATCAACATCAATGATTTCCTTCCTGGGTGATTTCTAAAAGATCTGGGATTTCTAGTAAGTCATGCAAAATCTTAGCTATGACAAATGGAATTTTTTAAAGGACAAAAGAAATACCTTTGATGCTTTGGAATGGAGGGAGGTTGTTTAATTAATCAAACTGTTTCAAAACGTTTATTAATATTTTAACATTTATCAACAATTGCTGTAATGTCATATTTCACCAAACTGCAAAAAAGCAATACAACAATTATCATGAAACAGTCCATTATAGTCTACTTAAAATAAATCCCTGCAGGTTTGTTCTAAAGAACAAAATTAGGTACAAGGCAACAAGGAAGCGGCTATAAGCAATTCTAGGAAGCACAGTCTACTTTTCAGCGTTTACAAATACATCACGTATATTTGTTCAATTCAATTATTGTTTGGACAGACTAGTGACACTTGAAATTCCAGAAAGTTGATGACTCCAGAAATTCCAACCTAAATTTAACACGTCTACCATGTCTACGGTTTTCCAAGTACAGCTTTACACAAGTCTATGCCTAGAATAAAGTCAGCTTGTAAAAAAGGGAACAATTTAACAAAATTTAAAAAAAAAATATGTATGAAAATCACATACTCACTCTCTTGATTGCAATTAAGACACAAAGTCACTGATTTGGATGCTGGATTGTTCTAAAATTAGATAAATTATATTTAGATTATGTGTCATCTCTACGTACATAAACACTCAACTGCGAAGTATTTTAAATAAAAAAAACTTCCTTAAGTTCTTACATATATTTACGCTCATACCAAATATATATGTGCCTTATTTTTTTCCTAAATCATTAGATGATCATCTTCTAATAACAAATAAGTTAGGCCTATTAGACTTTTTTTTTAGCTAGGTCGGCGAAGATTTGTTCGGCTTTATAATCTTACAGTAACTTGTACATGTTTTGTTTCGTAATTAATTTTGAATGTTTAATTATGGCTGAAAACCGATTAGCATTAAATTCACTTTTCTTGTATTGGTGTATGACGACAAAAACACGCGAAAGATAAAAAAAAAAAGAGAGAGAGAACCTGATAATCAACACCCCACTCCCTCCTGGATGGTATTATATATGGTGAGCTTTAAATTTAATGAATAATAATTTCAAAGTGAAATTTGATTAAATGTTGAAATATCATTAAATTAATATAACAATTAAAATTAAATAATCACCAAAATTTCATTCCACAGGCCCGTAGAAGCCGGGGGGGGGGGGAGGATAAATCGTGGAATTCATGTTTGATTTCATTTTATTTACCTATTTATTTATTTGTTTGTTTATTCATTTATTTTTACTTAGAACTTTACAAAAATGGAGTCTTGAAAATAACAATGGTATAATCATTAATTATCAATGAGTGTTCATACAAAGACATTTTTCCTTATGTTAAGTTTTCACTCAGTTTCTGTCATCCTGCGTCCGCCCATCGTCGGGACCAAACTCTCTCTACAACCCGGCTGAAATGTTTAAATTTATTCAAAACTTTGTGGTCAGGTTACTTCAGATTGTAAGGTTGGGATGTGGACAATCCATACCCTTGGCTCAATTTTTTGTACCATGCCACCCCCACCCCCATCTGCACAGTACGGCCCTGCTTATTAATTACTTAACAGCGATATGAACAGGAAACATGACACCCATGCAAGGATCGCAAAAAACGAACACTACACATCCTTTTTTTCTCTCTAATTTTCTAAAACATTCCCTCAAAATTAGAAAAATATGAGTACGAACACATCTTCCTTGACACGAACAATGAACGGAGAGTCAAATCATATTTAATTTTATTTATATAGAGAACAGGCAGTAAATAATTAATAAACAGATGGCAGTAAACAATGGCAGTTTACTGTCACGTATGAATTTCCATAATATTTGGCCTTTGATATTCATACTGACTTCAAAATAACTGTTGAATGCTTTATATGTTTCTTATTTCGTCTACCCAATAAGAAAAATCCGACTTATCCTAGAATATAAATAATGATGTTATAGGTAAACCAGAAGCGAATTGTTGAATGTGTTTATCTTCCGCGATTGCCACATACAGGTTAATCCACAGGAAATTAAATTGTATATAAAAGTATTGTTACCTTTAATTTTTTCTTGATCTCGAGTTAGCGCTGTTTGCCTAAACATCCCATTCATGATGCTGTTAAAACCATACGTAAGTTATATTACATAAAAAAAAAGTTTAAGGTTGGGCATGTGATATGTGTAAATTCAGTGACGAATTAAAATTAAATAAGTAAATATAGTACACCATACTCTTTTATAAGGAAACGTGTAGAATTATGACAAGGTCGCTTCTTAACGTACTCGTGAATGTGCTTTACTTCTTTATCGACTATTTAAAAAGGAAATATCACGTTGTAAATTTGAATTTATCTGGGTGTATGTAAATGCAAAATTTACAAGTTTTTGTTTTCCTTAATTACGGGGGACGACCACTTGAATGTGAAGACTTATTCAACTTGAGAGTGTGATTTTATTTAATATGAAGCCTTCCTTATATTCAGCTCGAATGTGAAGAAATTCAGATACTACCTACATTATAACATATTTGGTCCTGATATTTCCTGTCAGTTACACACTCGAATATTTTTTCTTCATTTTTAATGGCAAAACTTCGTGTTGGTAATTAAAAAAAATTAACAAATCAACAAAACAAACCAACAACGATAGCAAACAAACAAACAAAAACCCCATGCAGAATTGAACTGAAGTTATTAATTAATAAATATACTTTAAACATTTTTTGTTTATTTTGTTTCAGATACCGACTTTGATCATTTTTATACCATATGCCTTAATGTATCGCATCAATTCTTGCAAGGACATGTCAAACTGGAGAATCAAACAAAAGCTAGGTTACAACCCCAGAGAAACAGATATGTCCTTCAATATAATTCCACCTATCCATCAGCGGAGAACAAAGTTCGACAAATTTGAGAAGGAGGTCAAGGACAAATCTTCAAGGTTATTCGGCAACAGCACATGTCCCTCTGTCCTCGACACGTTTGAACGCCACGCAATGTTCCGGTCAAGTTGTCCATGGTATATTGAACTGTCTGTGGACAAAACCAGAATTCCTGTTACAATGGCAAAAGCGAAATGCAGTTGTACCGAGTGCATTATGAATGTTTCGTCTGGCCGCCAGAGTCGTCCCAATCCTGGTTTCTCATGTGAGACAGTGAAAACTTACAGAAAAGTGCTGAGAGAAATTCTAAATGAATGCGATCAAAATGGCTTCAAAATGTATCGTGTGGATATAGAAGAAGTACCTGTTGCATGCACGTGTGTAGCGACACGAGAGACTGGTTGAATATTGAATGAAATTCAAATTTTACTCATAATTAACTGATTTTGCATACCAATTTGAAATAGAAATGAATTAAAAGAAGTATTTATCTTAAGCTTAATTCAAAGACTACGTAAGATAGCTAGACTAGACTACGTAAGATTCACACTGCTAACCAAAATATTTATGACTATACCCATGCATGTTATATATAAAATATATACAAGTATATATGTGGTGCTAATAAAAAACAAAATATGAAAAGTTTGTGCTAATTATTACGAAAACATTACTGATATTTATCAAATGGTCCCCTACACTCAAATAGTACCCAATTCCTTATAAGCTTCATTAAGGTTTTCCATCCCTAATAGGACCGAATTCTCTATCCTTAAATGCCCATCACGTACATAATTCTCTTATATTAATTTAAAGCATTTTAAAGTAGAAAAGGATTTACCATGAGAAAGTTTAAAAATGTAACTAACTAAGCAGTAATTAATTAACAAAGATTGCATTGAAGTCTATGTGGACAAGTGATTTTTTTTTAAATAAAAATTCAAATAATAAGAATATCAATAACTACTGTCGTGGAAAGATGCATTAAAACATTAGAAATAGAATGACAATTGAAAACGATTTTTTTTTACCAAATAAGTTTTTTTTTAAATTGATTTTTTATAAATTAAAAAACAGAAGGAGATAACTCTTACCAAAATTCAAGGTCATGAATAAGGACACATCTCACCCTTACATGCTAATAGTAACAAATGGGAATTATGTCTAAATATACTGAGTATTCGACTCCTACACATCTGTTATGTATTCAAATGCATTGAATCCGTTGCCATTAGGGATGTATTCCGGCCTGCCTTACTGAAGATCTACACAGGACCTACAGAAGATCTATAAAAATAAGGGCTATATACATCAAAACAGATTTTCAGGTCAAACATGTCTTAAATACAATTAAAATTGATTGTTTTAAATTTACAATCGAAGTTGGCTAAAACCAGGCCCGTAGGAAGCAATTTCAGTTTGGTGGGGCACAGCCGTACATTTTCAGTTGAGAGGGCACTGTCAACCAAAAATTCCTTGACAAGGAAAAAAAAAAAGAAGGTCGTCAGACGTTTTCATTGAGGGGGCACAAGGATATAGTAGCTATGTTTTCTATAGTAATATATATATCGGCAAAATTATTGGGGGGCACGCCCCCCCCGTGCCCCCCCCCCCCCCCCGTTCCTACGGCCATGAAAACAGCATTTAGGCTATGATTATAACTAAATTAAGAATTTATAATGCATGATATCAGAGTCGTTTATTTAATGACTTTCTTGTGCAAATGTATATAGAAGATGTAATGCAGAACAAACCTGCTCAACAGGCTTCAAGGGTTAACACACTGCTCAACGCGTTATCGGCTATTCGGTTGTTATCGGGCATTCGGTGGATAACAACTTTTGACAGATTAGTAAATTGTTGCAAATAAACACTGTAACAATAGAAACAGAGAATGTTGTTTGTGCTTTTTGTGAACAGGAATGAATACAGATACGAAATAAAGCCCCAATATATCTTATTATAGTATCAGTGAGTCTTGGGAAGACTTTAAAAGTAAAATTTGTAATATTTTGCAAGTTTTTGTTTGATTGTCATTGCTGCATATAGCCTCTTTCCTCAAAATCCGTATATTTACCTTACATTAATTATTGTCCACAATATATGGAGATAACGAACAGTATTCAAGCTCAAAAGTCCATTATACAATACAAAATAGGAGCAGAGCAAACACGGACCTCCAAACATCAGAGGTGGGATCAGGTGCCATGGAGGAGTGAGCATCCCCTGCCGACCGGTCACACCCGCCGTGTGCTCCTTGTCATGATCGGGAAATAACGGAAAAATCCGTCGACAATTCAGTGTGTAAATAATGGCCTAACAATTAGTATGAAAAACGTCAGTCAGCATTTGACTCAATGATAAATTGTATTTGCTGTCAAGGTCATTGTATCGACCATAGAACTTACGAAATGATGACTTTAAACGAGACAGCTGATATTCTTGTTTCATCAACTTATTTGTCAATAATTTACCTCGTTTTAGAAATTGTACATACGTAGAGCATGCTCTTGCGTATCGAATCAACTGAGAGATATATACCCCGTATGCAGGTGATGAAGATATATTGCTGCATAAGTAAGGGAAGTTGACGATTGAAAAGTTAAAGTCATCACGTTTATCATAAAGCTTGGTTGTTAGATTACCATTAACGTCTTTTTCAAGTAAAATATCCAAATATGAAACAGATGTGTCAGACTCTGTGGTATCTTTTATCTCAAGTTCACCAGGATATATCGTATCGACATAAGAATGAAAATAGCCATTGTTAATTGACAATACGTCGTCGATATATCTAAATGTCGAGTTGAACGCCACAGCAAGTGTTTTCTTCTTTTCACGTACAAGATTTTGGACAAATTCTGCTTCATATGAATACCAAAAAAGGTCTGCTAATAACGGGGCGCAATTTGTACCCATAGGTATTCCAATAGATTGTTGGAAGACCTGGTCTCCAAAAACCACATAGATATTGTCAATCAGAAACTCAAGCATCTTTTTAATGTCAACTTCAGAGTACTTGTATGTACAATCAGAATGTTTTTAACAAAATAATTTTGCAAATGACCAATGACAAGGTAAGTATATTTACGAGTTCCATTTTTATTGAAAAAGCAGCTGTCAATGATATCAAAAAGCCTGGACTTTAATTTATCGTGGGGAATGGTTGTGTATAAAGTTGAAAAGTCATAAGTTTTTAAGCTGTTGATTTTGATAAAATCTTGTGATTTCAAATTTTCCAAAAGTTCCATGGAATTTTTAAGTATCCACATCTGATTTACACCACTTCTCGAATATACTGTTGCACAGTACTCTTGAAGTTTCTCCTTCACCACTGTTAATATCTTAGTGAGGAGTAAAGATAGAGGCTTGGTTGAACATTTACTGGAACCCGCTATGTATCTTTGTTTGTAAGGATTTTTATGAAGTTTCGGAATCCAATATAAATATGGTAATTCGAATTCATTTTGGTTGTTTGGAATATTAAAAATATTCAAAACTGACATATGATTTTGAAGAATTTCTTCCTTAGAAAGGGAACTATGAGTATAAGTTGGATAACCACTTGTAGAATTAAATCCAAGTTCCTCTAAAATACATTTAATATAATATAAGATGCATAAAATGAAAGTTATTGCATGAAAAGTTTTCAATTACAAGCTACATGTTGAGACTTTTTAAATTAAATAATACTTAATTTTAAGAGTTATCCTTCCTGGCGGAGGATCGGATATCCTTAAAACACATTATTTGCTTTTTTCAAGGGCTGACAGATTATAATTGACTTTTTTCCCCAATCTATTTCTAAAGCTGAAAGAAATTTTTTAACCTGATTTTCCGATAACGTACACCGGTAAAAACCGAATTATCCGGCAACATCAACCTTGTTGACGATAACATGTTTTCACTTAACGAGACATTTTAAATGCCTGTTTATTAATCCTTAATTTGGATTTTTGATCTCAGTCTGCTTACCTACAGGTATGTGATTGTCCATGGAATAAATAAACCATTTTGTTTTATAGAATAAACTGATTTTGACTTCAACAAAAGCTAAAGTGTGATGAAATGTTCCGAAATTTTTATAAAATATCATTTGAAAGAGCTGCATATCTTTAGAAAGAGAGCGATTTGGTTTGTGCTTTTTGCTGCTGAAAGTATAATCATTTATCTGCCAAAGATCACAAACTTTGTTTGCTAAGTGCGCAATTATCGTTGAATTAAGAAATTTAAAATCACCTATGTTTTCTAAACATTGTTTTCCTTGCACCGAATGCCCGATAACAACCGAATAGCCGATAACGCGTTGAGCAGTGTGGTTAAGGCCAGCGCAAAAACTCAAAGATGTCGACATTTTCAAAGACCAGCAGAGGATGTAAAACATATACAATACACCATATTATCACTGGGATTAAAAACTATATGGAATAGGATGTTTTGACTCGAACTATGATCTGAATGAAATATGGAGATAGCGAACAGTAATCAAGCTCAAAAGTCCCTTAAAACAATACAAATCGGGAGCAGAGCAAACACTCTAAAAGTATTAGAGGTGGGATCTGGCACCGGACGAATCAATGGTTGGTGTACCCCCCCCCCCCTTCCTTCTGAGAATTTTTTTAGTCACGATAACTTAGCAAAATGAAATATACAAGTATTCCTAGCCTATCATGCTATTACTTTGATATTTTGATATATACCGTAAAGAGGAAATTTCTAAAACTTAACAAATCAAAGTACTGAAAGTACTGAAAGCCGGGCTTTAATATGTTCGAGTGTATTGTCCAATCCTAAATTAGCACATATTTGAAATCTTTCTTTTGACCATTGATATTTAACAGGTAGAGTTTGTATGATTATGATTAACAATAACCCATCTACCAATAATTAAAATTTACGGTCCAGAACCCAACGTTAAGACCCCAGGATAGGACTTGGTGATATTTTTAATGAAAATACATTTATACCTTTCTAAACATTAAGCTCACAATGGTTATGCATGGTAACAGTGCACTTTGAGTGGTTTTGCTGATTCATACAGGCACATATATAGTATCGGAGGAGCTAGGGGTGTCACCATTTTTCAAACATAAACTTTTACAATGGACAATGTACATTGAAAGGTTGATTGACTCTTCGCAATCAAATTTGAATTAGAACTTTCAACTCACTCTTCGTAATATATACCAGGTATTTGTCACGAGCGACGAACAGATTTACTAAAAGCAAAATGGATAGTCTAATTTTAATTAGATTGTACCCATCATTTTATTGTAGCATATTAAAAGTACGGTAATTTGGTAATGAATTAATGAAATTCGAAATGTGAAAGTAAGTTGTAGCCCACCCCTATTCCTTCTCCAACGGAATAGGATTTTCGGGTTTGGACAATTCTCCTTTTTTCTGATAATGA